TCAGCGGAGCTAGCCTCCGCTACTGGCACTCCACTGACACTATCACCCAGTTCTCCACCATCCACATTGCCACATACCCAGACTATGACCAGGCCTGGATCTATGAACATTTGTACATCTCCAGATGGCAACCTACACTCAACTGGCCTTACATTTCACAGCGCCTCAAACTCAAAGCAGACGGTTGGCAATTCAGCCGGCATCGAGCCCATTTCTTTCCACACCTTGCCAATCACTATCGCCTTTTTCGACGACTGTGCCGACGACTACAATCTACAGCCCAACCTATCCTTTACACATCACACAAACTACACGCCCTCACCATCCTTCGAGACCTCACCAAACACACACGAGCATCCTTCGATGCCGCCACAGCTCCGCTCCGCCTTCGCCGCAAGCATCCCACACAACGGACACTTTACACCGATGACATCACCACGATCGTTGCTCTAGCATTGGATTCATGTATTTTCACACGATCTTCGCAGCTGTCGTCAAGCCCTGAGAGGAAAAGCTTCGGTTTCGATCGAACTCATTCTTCAGTGCACCCTTACGCAGAGTGCGTCATCCCCAGTCTCGTGTTTGTGCATGTTCCCCCTGTTCCTGCAGTTCTCCCCGTTAATCTAGCTTTTGATGCTGTCTTGCCATGCTTCTGGCCCTAGCTTCACGCCCTCCCATTCCCACCATGACGTCGCTTTCCGAGCAATGTCACGCAGAGTGCACCGTCCCCGGCCCCCTGTGTGTGTCACCACCTGTTTCTAAGGTTTTCTTAGCTAATCACTGTGTAGCTGACGTCCACTATGTTTCAGAAATACGACTATGACTTCTCAATTTGAACAGCAGGGGGGCAGTGAATCTCATTCCATCCACTGCCCAACGAAGATGGTGGTTTGAGATTGTGAAGCGAGAAGGGACGCCTTCTCGTGTACCTGCAGGCCAATTTTTAAGTCATCGTTTCACCTGTGTTTAACAATTCTGGTATTCTGACCCAGCATTCGTTCGGTTCTTGCAAGTCAAGGTCTACCATGCAGCGGGTAATGTAATCATCTAGAGTGGGACTTCATACTGATCCTAGCTCTTGCGAGCAACTCTCTAAGTGTGTGCCCTTTGTAGTCACTGGGATTCTTTTGAATTTTTTCTCACGAGCAGGGGGACAACCCCATGGATGCAGTTGTTTGTCCAACGAAGAGGGCTGCATTCCATGGCTGATATGATCCTGGGACGCTGGGATCACGTACCTGCTTGGTTGTGATGTTTCCAAGCTGCCACTCTCATCTTCCAATAAAGTCCTAGTGAGCTCTGCAGTTGTGAGCGCCCGTCGTCATCCTGTTGGATCGGCCCCGCCTTGAGTTTTTGGCCTCGCTTCCTTTTGAAGACCCCCAGGCTCTTTAGGACTTTCCTGGAGTTTTCAAGATTTGGGTTCTTAGGCCGGCGTGTGGCACCGCATTCACATCAGTACGCATTTCTACAAGTGTGTGCGCGAAGAAAAGCGCTTTCAAGTTCTCTTCCTGGTCAGAGCGTTGATGTCATCCTTGCTCCTCTATCTTTCTTGAAATATTTTTTATTATGTGAAGCCACACAAGAAGACAGGCTGGGGGATGGAATGACCTACCCAGTGAATAATTCATGTGTAGACCTTCCCCCTTCCCCCGCCTCCCGGCGGGTTCAACTCCCTCCTCTCCTACGTCTGATCAAGGCATCGGAGAGGACAATCCACTACTAGTAGGTCATTTGACTGTAGGTCAACGCACGGCAACCAGAGACCTTCCATAAAACCACAGAATTGTGCTCTCCGATACCTCTCGCAAATCCCGTTTCTCAGCCATAGCTTTCGTCAACAACCCCGGCCTCAAGTTGATGTAAAGGAGGAACCTGCGCACACCGGCCCCTTTGTTGGGCTTCTTTACCTTTTTGATGCTCTATATGCGGTGTACAGACCCTCGACTCAAATATTTTTTTTTACATTTCTGGACTGGGTATCCCCAAAGATCCTCAGCACTTTGGATTTGATAGAGGCCCTTTTTGAAAAGGAGTAAGGTGCCAAGATCGTTTATTTTGCTTGCACCAGCGGCCTCAGGGGTAAGGTAAGACAACCGCACGCCACAGCTTGTAGCTTATTTTGCGATCTTAGACGAAGCATGATGGTTGATGACCATTTGTGTCGCCCCAACTTGATTTGGTGGTTTCCAATCCTCGGATTGTTCTAGACCCGCAGCAGAACAGTCTCTCGATCCCTATTTTGGTCGCAAAAGAGATCAATGTACTTACCGCACAAGAGTTCTTCGTGTGCACAAAATGGTTGTCCTGATAGGGTGCTTTCCTTGACTGGGCTCACCTTGTTGTGCCGTGCACATTTTTGGACTTGGTGGTCAGGAGATCCGAGCCGTTGTACGCTGACTTGCAGGTTTCGTGGCATGTGCAGCTCTTTGGACTTGGTGGGTGTGCGCTGATTTCGTGGCAGGTGCAGTGAGTCGTGAATCACTTTGGGCATGACTCGTTTTCCGAACTTGGGAGACGTATTTAGCGAAAGCTTCGTTTGGTTGTTCTTGGACGTGCATTGTGATGTGCAGATTTAGTGGCAGTCGCAGCACTTGTGAAAAGTACAGCTTTAGTGGTAGGCGCAGCACTGTGTGAACCTCGCGAACTTCAGTGTAGACTTCGTAGCAGGCACAGTACTTTGTAGACTGCGAAGCAGATTGCACCTGTGCTTTCGTGTGTGTGCTCTCATGTGGTTGCTTTCATATGTGTCCTCACATGTGTGCTCTTATGCGTGTGCTCTCATACCTTTGCTCTCATGTGGGTGTCGTTTGTTCTGCTGAACATTGTTTGGTGTCTTTTGCCGGGATACTGTAGTGTCCAGAACAAACTGCTACACCTCATGCTGTTGAAAAAAAAAGGGAACCATATGACATGAAATCATTAAAGTGTATACCCCTTTCCCTTGTACCGCTGTTTCTGTAGTCACTTGTTCTCTCCTTTTGATTTTAGATAAAGTCGTGACATTCTTGGAAACTGCAAATGACAGGATCTTGCTCGTAGGCAATTGAGGACCCTGAACGACAACACTTTCACATTATGGGAGACAATCGATGATACGGGATACGGTTTATTCCTCCTCTGTTTGTGTGGTCTATCCGGATGCTAGTCGGATTCTGCAAGGTTTAGAGAGAGGCGGGTTGTAGAATTTTCTCCTTCTCTGGGATGTTAGAAACTATACTGTATATAGATCTTTTTTGTCCTTTGAGATCCTTCGAGCGTGTTTTCCATTTAGCTGGCTCCAGGATTGGCATTTTGTCTGGTGGCCAGAAAGTCAAGGTCGTTCTCGGTGCTGCCATGTGGCCATGAACCACAGAGAAGCTGCAAGTGTCGCCAGAGTGAGGATGCATGTTGTGTGTGATCCTCAGGCTGTCCCCGCATATCCTCATTTTGGATGAGCCGGAGCCTCTTTTCTCGCTTTGCCAATACAAGTCCTGGTGCGGCCTTCACTCTAATATTCTTCGGGCTCAATCAATATGCCTCAATAGCATGCGGGCATTGCATGATCGTGTTTCTGTTACCAATTTGCACTGAAAACAGAGTACGACCAACGCCCAAGGCCCACCAATTACTTGGACAGAGACTCTTTGGGAGCTCTTGCTGCAGGCTGATCCTGCTCAAAGTTTCTAACACACTGATGTTTGTTGAAGATTCTGTTCTCCAAGTTGTCTCAAGCATTCCTAGCGATTCTGAGAGCAATTTCAGTAGGTTTGAAAGAATTTGGTGGTGGAGCCGCAGCCACAGCTGAACAAGTCTTGGAATCACGCAGTTCTCGACACCAGTAGACCCATGAGGTGATAGTCATCTCTCACAACCGCGAGCATGCACCCCAGACGACATAAGTTCACCTGCTCTGTCTTCAACATTCTTCAACTACCTATATAGTGGGTAGGGAAGTCTTGATTTTGAAGTGATAAGGTTTTGCCATGCTGTTTGTGATGAGCGCTGGGTCATGAACGCAGGGTGCTGAGAGTTTGGCATCATGAGCACACCAGAGGCAACAGATGGTAACTGCGTGCAGTCCTTCAGGCTGGTCGATTGAGCAGAGAAGGACAAGTGAGCAAAATGGACGTGGCGTGCGGCTCTCAGGGTCGACAAACAGCAGGGAAGCTTCCCGGGAACTCTTCCCTCCCAAAGCTTAACGAGCTTGCTGTAGCTAGAAGCACTAGTAACAAGTAACAAGGGTGTTACTACTAGCAAGAAGCTAGTAACGAGGGCATCGCTAGCACAAATGAACTCACCTTTGAGCCGCAAGGTTGGAAGGCAAGGCAATGGTGGACGAGAGCCTTGGCTGCCTTGGATGTCTCTGCGTTCTTTGTGATCACGAACAGCAACAGCTCATGTCCCGCTCAGATACACCGACGAGTTTGGCAACGTTCACAAGCTAAAGAAAAAGCAACCTCAGACTGAGAAGGAGCAAGCTGATTGATCAGGGTTGAGTACAAGCCTTATGCTTTCACACGACCACTATTCCTGCTGTGCAGGAGCTGAAGAAGATGAAAAGGCAGAAGGAGCTTGCTCGAAAGCGTGGAGATGTTCCTTGGATATACAACAGTGTGATAGTGGTAGTCTTTTGCATTTGTTCGTCGAAACAGCCATAGCAACTAGGGCACTCATGCGGCAGGTTTTCATTGAGGATGAGGATGAATGGCCGTGCTCTCAATATAGATTGAGTCAATCATAGCCAAACGATGTTTCATGGAGAAGCCGGTAGAAATTGCCTGTTTCCTTACAGCAAGCTCCATCGAATCAGGTGGGATAAACTTCAAGAAGAAGTTGCCAAACCAGTGTTGAGCGAGTGACAACCTCAGACAATCCAGCGTCTGGAACGGACACCGTTCATCCCCTTTTCTGGAGCTTCAAACAGAAGCTTGGATGCTTGGGATGTTTACGCCAGGCCTGCTACATCCAGCTAGGAGAGCTTGGGCTTCATGTTAGATTTACAAGTGCATATGGAAGGTGGTCACACATATGCCAGTGAAGCATTACTCAGTCTGGTGGAGTTGAATGTCCTGGAGAAGCAATCGGCCCAAGGCAATTTCTCAGCGCGCTTGATTTAGAACGTGCCTCACGGCAAGCCTTCTACAGGATGGGTGGAGGGGCAAGCTCTTTGAATAACAAGCTTGTCGATGCCTCTCACAGAGGTGTTGTGAAGGAGATGGAGGAAGCGCTTGCAAAGGGGGCTGATCCGAACGCCAAGGATGAGTGGAAGAACAGTGCTCTCATTTGTGCTGCTCGGAAAGGCAACACCGATGCGTGTTCCTTGCTCATCAAGCACAAGGCTGAAGTCGACTACCTCAACAAAGACAACCTGACTCCTTTGTATTACGCCGCCAAAGACCATCACACCGACACTGTGAAAGTTCTTCTTGATGCAGGTGCACATGCAGACATCTACGATGAGTTGCGCGAAACACCCCTTTTTGATGCGGCTTGGTTTGGGCAGCTTGAGCTTTGCAAACTACTGATCGAGAAAGGTGCGAAAGTCGACAATCAGTCCAAACTTACAAAGTCAACTCCTTTGCACAAGGCAGCCATGATGGGAAAGTTGGATATTTGTAAGCTCTTGATTGAAAAGGGGGCCAACACAAAGTTGAAGAATGACAAGGACCGTACCCCCCTTGACTGTGCTGAGTACATGAATGAGGCCGAGACTGCCCAGTACTTGAAGAGTTTGGAAGGTGCTCAAGCGGCTGACGCACCCAAGGAAGCAGAAGGACCGGCTGTGCCCCAAAAAGCCGATGAAGCTGCGACCGAGGAGGCTGTGCCAGCTGCCCCAGTGGACGCAGCTGAGGCTGCGACGGAGGAGGCTGTGGCTGCACCAGCTGCCCCCGAGGAAGCCACGGAAGCCCAAGGGGCGGAGACCGCACCGGAGACGGCCGCTGACACAGAGGCCACGCCGGCAGCGCCAGCTGAGGCACCAGCAGAAGGTGCTTGAGACTGAACACATTTGAGCGGTCTCTTTTGAGAGATTGAGCTTTGAAGGCACTTGTGGATTGACAGTGCCTGTAAAGGTAGAGTTTCACATGTATCAGCATCTCTCATGTTGAATCTCACAACCACTTGAACTTTGACTTTGCCTTGCATTGGCCATAGGGTCTCGTGCACAAAAAGCTGGTGGTACAGAGTACAGAGCTTGCTTGAAATCATCCCAACCGCTTTTACCACGACTTAGACATTTCTCTTTCATCCGTTTTGCAGTTTTGTGTTGCTCTGGTCACTGGTCTTTTTTCTTTGCAGGAACCAGCATTGGCTTTTGCCCTGGTGCCCTGCCAGTTTGCCAAGGTGGACAGTTTGATTGGGATCCGCTGCTATCCGCTATCCAACCCTAAGCTCAACAAATTCTTCTAACAACTACTATACTATACAGTTGCTTTCCAGGCTGTTTAGATAGTTGAGCTTTTTCGGAAAACACATTGCAGCAAGAATTGTGTGAGACTGCTGCAGAAGGTTTTTGTGTCGTACACAATCAAACGCATATACTAGCTGTGCTATGAGTCGAGCCTGTTGCTTTATCATCCATATAGCGGCTCCCGAAGCACGTCTCACTCTGTCCAAGCTAGCAATCATGCTTATACATATTTAATACTGGGTGGTGGTTTCAGATATTTCTTTATGTTCACTTTACTTGGGGATGATTGAACCCACTGACTGATATTTTCCAAGTGAGTTGAAACCATCAACCAGCATGCTCACAATTTTCGAGCCTTTTGTATACAGTATATACAGTACATGTATGTATGCATGGAAAATTATAGTATGGTATGGCGATGCGATGTGATGTGATGTAATGCAGTGCAATGCAAAGCAATGTATTTCATGTATGTATTCAGAAATTCATGTGTGTAATACAATGTAATGTAATTTGATGATATGTTATGTTATGTTATTGTTTGAATGTATTAATTAATGCAATGCAATGTAGTGTAGTGTGGTGTAATGCAATTGTTATGTAATTCACCAATTTGTCACCGAAAGCTTGATCACCGAAAGCCTTGCCACCGAAAGCTTCGTCACTGAAAGCAGGCACATTCCCGGGCCCGGCCATGATCAAAAAATGCAAGGTTTCTTCACCCTATGCTTTTTTTTTTGTGTTCCCCTGCCGAGCATATGTTCTATTCCCGACAATATTTGCATTGCTGGCGACAAGAGATTCCATATGCGCGACAAGAAAATAGTGTCTTCTTCCGACCCAACTCACACGTTCAATTCCAACAACATCCAACAACCTCCTTCGAGGAAGACCAACTGAAGTTGGCAACAGAGACGCAGTACATCCTTTTGTACCCCCGCTTAGAACATTGGACAATTTTGTGGAGCAACCACAGGTGTTTAAGTTTCACTTGGACAGGCAGCCGCCGGTGAACCGGAATCCGCACACCACCTCGTTTCTGAGATCTTCTATAGATCCAGCACTTCACGAAGGCAATCTGCAAGCCGCTTTCTTCTTGCAATGTGTGCCTGCGGCCTGTTCACAGACTTGAGGGCCATCACAAAAGCTATAGCCTGGCAGGCTAGCTTGGTCTGAAATGGTCGTGCCTCCAGCAAGCACGTCTGCCTTGCGGCCAACGTGCTTGACCTTTAGGCCCTGTGCCACGCCTTCTGTTCTGACGTATAACCGCAGAGGTCACACTTGCAAGGCCTTGGCCTTCTTCTTCTTCTTGGCTGGCAGGAAGCCTTGGACAAAAAACAATTTGCTGCAAGAAGAAAAGGCGCAAAGCAGGCACAGGCACAGGTGCTTGTCCAGGACGCCCTGGGTCGTCGTGGTGGCTGAGAATGAGATCCCGCTTGATGCGCTGCCGTCCGCACAGCCGAAACATTGGGAGCGCAGCTCTGTATGAACCTCCGCAGAGCTCAACAAAGGATCAGTGCGCTCCTCAAGTTTGAAGACATGGTGTTGACGGAATTGGCCTGCCTTGATTCTTGTCAGCACCTGGCTGTCGCAAGCAGCAGCCTTTGCCCTCCGGGAGCCGCCAAACACAGCTACGATATTGTTCGCGTAACCATGGCCTAGCAAGTGGCCAAGGTACACACACCTTTTTGACGCATTTGTACGATTTTTCCTTCCTTCCTTCCTTCCTTCCTTCCTGCGTGCCTGCCTGCCTGCCTGCCTGCCTGTAAAGGGACCACGAGGTGACAGTGGAGGTGAAGAGGTTCAGAGCAGAAACATCAAGCGTGAGGTGTTTTGATGTTTGATGTGTTTGTTTTCAAGCACTCGAAATGAACAAATGATCTTAAGGACCTGCTTTGCTTGGAATGTGACATAAACTGATGAACTGATCCGCCAACCAAATAAACCCGGCAAGGCACAAGAGATGCAGCAACAAATGTTGGCCTTGTCTATGTCTGGGTGTCAAACAATTGGCGGTTAAAACAACCTGCCTGTCTGTTTGTCTGCCTGCCTGCCTGCCTGCTTGCCTGCCCCCTTCCTTCCGTCCTTGCTTGCTTGTTTGCTTGCTTGTTTGCTTGCTGCCTTTCTTTCTTTCTTTCTTGTGTTACGCCGTTACGCATTTTTGCCCGTTTGTTTTTCTTTCGTACATTGTTTTGTCGAATTGATTTCCCCACGGGAGGAAGGAACGCAAACAAATGTTTCCAGACAGTCTTTTGAAGTGTTTTTACGATTTTTTGCGCTTCCTGCTCCCTTCTCATGTGGGCTTGTGTTACTCTGTCGTGTATTTTTTGCATTTTTCAATCATGTTACATGTTGTTACTAGAACATACTAGAACGTTTTTTGTTTTCAAAAATGTTACATTTTGTCACTAGAACGGATTTCCCACAGAAAAAACAGACAACAGTTTCCAGAGCGTGCGCACGCCTTTTCGTATTTATGCAATTTTTTACGCGTCTGTCTTCTTTGCTTATATTCTACGTTTTTCTATGTTTTTCTTTTAAAGCATGCTAGGTTTCCAATTTTCTTGCATGTTTTTTACTTTTCCTTTGCCAACTTTTAGTTCTACGTACATGTTGGTAGGACCTTCTAGGAGATCGGTAAGAGGCAGAAGAAAGCGAGCGCGGAAGTGGATCGCAGTGTCCAGGCCATTGTTTTGTGCTCCGAATTTTGGATGGCCGGCAGGGATGTGGACACATATTGCCCCCAGATAAATGTCTTTGCCTGTAGCAACATAGTATCGATATATGCGGAAAGGCGTGATTGAAAAGTGCTGCGCACGCAGCGGATGTCACTCGTAGCAGCAGTGAACACTACAGGTTCACACAACTGACAAGAACCCTCATAGCCGGAGCAATCTTGTTTGCCGACAAATTTCTGCTTGTACCTTCGATCAGTGCGGGGATACCTATCAAAAAGAACATTGATTCCTATCAAAAAGAAAATCGTTTGCTGGTTCCCTGGTCGCTTGGTCCTTGGGTCCCTTTGTCCTGGTCCCTTGGTCCCCTGCTCCCTTGGTCCCCTGGTCCCTTGGTCCCTCTGGTCCCTTGGTCCTCTGGTCCCTTTGTCCTCTGGTCCCTTGGTCCTCTGGTCCTTTGGTCCTCTGGTCCTTTGGTCCTTCGTCCTGGTCTTCGGGTCCTTGGGTCTGTACTTTCGAGGCAAGACGCGTTCAAGGTGATTTGGAAATCTGGCCTGTGAAGCACCGTAGCAGACCTTTTATCGCCAGACGTAGCAGACCTTTTTTGTGAGCCACCCTGATGGTAAAATTTAGACGAAGAAAGTGCCATTCCAAGGTAGCAAACCTTTTATCGTGAGCCACCTGAGGGCAAAATTTTGAAGAAGAAGGAACCATTCCAACGTTGCAGACCTTTTGTTAGCCTTGCGAGGTTAAAACTTAGAGGAAGAAGTTGCCATTCCAACGTAGCAGGCCTTTGTTTTGTGAGCAACTTGCTATTCCAACGTAGCAGACCTTTTGTGAGCAAAATTTAGAGGAGCAGTAGACCTTTTGTGACCCATGCGAGGGCAACATTTACAGGAGCAGACCTGTTGTCAGCATAAACTTTAGAGGAGGAAGGTGACATTCCAATATAGCAGACCTTTTGCGAGCCATCCACAGGTCTTGTGGTTTTGTGAGCCATTGTGAAATTCAGAGAGATCACGGTTGAGATGCAGAGAGGTCTACATCTACAAAGATCCAGAGGCCTGGAGATCCAGACGGATCCGCAGGTGTAGAGGTCTAGAAACCCACAGACCTAAAGATGGAGGTTTAAAGGTCTTGAGTATTGAGATCCCGGGACGTTTGAAATCTAAGTTCTAGGGGTCTAGACTTGCAGAGGGTGTAGAAAGATGTTCAGATCCAGAGATATCAAGAGCTCTTTTCACAGGTCTTGAGATCCACAGAATTTTGCAAACGCCACGCAAAGTGCACTTCAAGGTTCGCAATCGCTGGCCTTGCCACGAAGTCTGCGCTTGTAGACAGAGGTTCAGGCAATCTGCACTTCGAGGTTCACGAAGTGCTGCACCTGCCATGAAATCTGCAGTTCCAGTGCACAAAGTGCAGCGCCTGCCACGAAACCTGCTACTGGAGGTGCTCAAAGTGCTGCGCTTGCACGAAATCTGCACTTCCAATGCACAAAGTGCCGCTCCTGCCACGAAATCTGCTACTGGAGGTGCTCAAAGTGCTGCGCCTGCCACGAAATCTGCAGCTCGAGTGCACAAAGCGCTGCTCCTGCTACGAAATCTGCTACTGGAGATGCTCAAAGTGCTGCGCGTGCCACGAAATCTGCGCATCCAGATTCACATCGCGCAGCGCTGCCAAGGCGGTTTGCAGTGGCAGGCGCAGCTCTTTGTGAGAGATATTTTGTTTTTGATACAAATTAACTTTCTTTTTGATAGGATATAGAAATTTTCTTTTTGATATATATATATATATTCATGTTCTTTTTGATGGCCCGGCCATCAGTGCGGCTGTTCTGAACAAATGCATGGGCTGACAATTTGGACATGGCTGTCCTTCAGTTTGTAGTCGGGATTGTGTATGTGTTTTTTGTCGAGCCTGATGTGTTTTCTTGTCGTGTTTTTTGGCCGACCTGGTCAAGTATACATCACGGTCTCTCCCCGGCCTTCTTGTTATTTTGATTGTCCCCCCTTCCCAATGACTCAGAAATCAGTGGTGCAAGGCTTGTAAGTTTCAGCTCACTCTGCAAAACTCAGATAGCTAATCA